TCTCTCATGAAAACAATTAAAACATACATTTTTTTTTAAAACATGAGGGTCTTTCCATGGACATACAGGGGACTTCAAAAAATTTGTGGTAAAATAGAAATAAAGGGCAGATTTATTTTGGTGTGAAAAAATGTGACATTAATAAGTCATTTTTTCATATACACATTTTCCATGAACTTTTTTGAAGACCCCCCCACCCACACACACACACACACACACACACATAATGATCTGAGTGGAGTTGTCAGGAATGAACCAAAGCATGCCTTTTAGGAACATGGAAGCACCTGATGGATTTTGGTTTGAAGGTCTTATTTCTAAAGGAAACAAGTTCTGGCTGGGGAGGAGGAAAATCTGACTCCAAAGAAATAAAATGGAAGTAGTATTTTCATCAAAAGCAAATAGAATTTGGACCAGCAGGTGCCATGGTGGTTAAGGCGCTGGACTCCCACATGGCTGACTGTAGTTGGAGTTCTGGACCTGGCAGCTTTCTCTCTCTTTCTCTCTCTCCCTCTCTCTCTCTCAAGTACATATACTTTATAGCAAATTTTTAAAATAATAATAATACATACAATTAAATAACTATTCTTTTTATAAATTGGAATACTAGGAATTAAGCAAAGGTGTCTGATTATGATCATTTCACCCTAGCTAATGTGAGGAACTGTGGAAGAAATGCTCCAAAGGCCAGTACCTCCTGGCAATCCTTTACGTTATAGAGTGCAGGAGTGTAGGTACTGTGTTTAGTTTTGGAGTCTAGCAGAATTGGCTTTGAAGGCAAACCTTTCCTTTTTCAGTTCCTGCTTCTTTGAAGCAATCTGAGCCTCAGTTTCCTCCACTGTAAATAAATAAGATTTGCCTAGCAGCATTGTTGTGAGGACTAACAGAGAAAGTTATCAAATATAAAACAGCTATTGGAAGGTCTGCTATATAGTTCAATAAATCAGAACTATTGTTATGATGTGCGCTCTATAAATTATCTATTTTTTTCTAAAATATTCCATTTGTTATATTTTGTAGACCTTCCCATCTCTACTTAGCAAATGAGGAAACTGGAGTTTCAGTAAGTTTGTACCAAATTCAGAAAGACACTTGGCATTAGACTCTCATAACATATGTCCTACCCTGAGTCACCCTAAAGACTTCATCAAAAACTCCCATCCTGTTCTCTTGCTACCTAGTTCTGCTCAGTTTAAAATCTCCTCAAAACCCTATCTCTGCTGGAACTTCTTATGTTTATGTTTTGGACCTTGACTCACTTCTAGAAACTTGTGTTTATGTTCTCTGGGAACTAGAGGAAGCCTAAGTTATGATGTCACTTACCTAAGTAAATTTAAAATGCAACATGCTGGTCCTGTGATAAAGCACAAGGTGCAGGTGTGGATCCATCTGCAAAGTATGACCTGTCCAAAGGACAGTTCTGAGCTCTCTTCTCCACCTCTACTTCCCACCAAATACTGTTCTCACACCCAGGTAACACCATCATCACAAACCCTATCTTAAAAGGTATCTCAGTTACCATTCTAATTGCATATAGAAAGGAGAAGCCTTACATTCTTGACCAGTGAAGCGGTGTCTTCACAGAGCCCTGCTCATGCCCTACCACTTATGTACTCATGTTCCTGGACCATCTACAATGACTCTCTAATATGGAGGGTTAGTCCTAGGTTTGAAATTTGGAATAAAGCCCTTGAAAACACCTCACATATATACCTCTTCATCCCAAAACATTAGGCCATGTCTAACTAGAGTTAAACTAGCAGAGAACTAGCCTGTGACATGTAAGGCATTCTACTATTATTTTACAGAGCTTACTTTTTACAAAAACCAATGAAAAAGAAAATAATGTGGGATCCAATATAAGTTCTCTTTGCCAGAGGCTGTCAAGCAATCACTTGAGCAAAATTAATAGGTTTACTTAAAAAAAAAAATGTAACACCTAATTTCCTCTTCCCCCACCTCCAGATATGAGGCTGAATCATTTAGAAACAAACAGAACAAAAAGCAAACTCTTGTTACTTTTGTTATCCTGAGATTCTTTGTCTTTCTCCTAAGTCACAGGTTGTCAAACATTTTTTTGTACGGGGCAGTTTCAGTTTTGAGGGCCATATTTTGGTCACAACTACTCAATTCTGCCATTGCAATCCAAAAGCAGTCATGGGTAAAATGTAAACAAATGGACTTTGTTCTAATAAAGCTTTATTTATAGACACTGTAGTTTGAACCTTCTATAAGTTTCTGTTGTTACAAAATATTATTCTTCTTTCCATTGTCTTCCAACATGTAAAAAACAGAAAAACCATTTTTCTGTGAGCTGTACAGTAGCAGACAGGAGGGTGGATTGGGCTGTGTACCTAGCCAATCCCTGCTTGAAGTCAGTACATACATTTGGATTACTTTCAAGTAGGAATCTCTCTCCACCAGCTCAATATCTCCTTCTTAGCTCCTACCGTGGGACTCTATATACATTTCTTCAAAGTGCAGCATGCCTCACAAAAAAGATTCAGAAGTATTAGGATTTGGGGGTTAGATGCTGATCTGTGGTTTATAAAATGTCATTCTTGTTCTTTCCCATTGCAAATTATTGATCATACACTTTCCATTTGTACAAATAAGTAAATTCTGAAAGTTCATGCCACTGAACTTTTCCATATAAATGGAAGGCAAGGTTTCCCCCCTCAACTTCAGCTTCAGTGTTCACTTGTACTTTGGTTGCAAAACAATAGGAATTTGAGGAGTAATAAAGTTGACACTCTACTCCAATAGAGATCAGAGAACATTCTTGTCTTCTATCATGTAATTAAGACTCAGTGCTGATAACTTTGTTTATTCCTTTTTGGAAAGTAACAGTGTTAGGCATAAATACATGTAGGAAGGCTAGAGAAGTACAATGCAAGCAATATCCTAACAATGGACAAGTTTTGTAGGATATTTCATCACAGTGTTGATAAAATGGTACTGTGCATTGAATTTCAGTCCTTCTCCCCCTTTATCCACTTCACTGCTAAGGCATAGATATACTTACTTGGCAAACCACATATTAAAATAAGCGAAATTATCTCTATTTCCAAGAACAGTCACAGTGGGCATTCAGCTTTTGGGGTGAGAATGACCAACCTAAAAACTTCTGATATGAGAACCAAGAGCCATTGTACATTTTAGCCTTGAAATCAACTCCACATCACAAATTCCAAAGCATTGTTCTGGGGCATTCTAATGAGTAGAGGCTATATTTTGGAGAGTGGAATCTGACCAGGACACTTTATTCTCTTTTCAGGACAATAAATTAGGGTTTGCACACCCAAAACTGTGGTACAGGCTGCTGCTCAAATCCTGGCAGTGATGGGAATAGAGGAAAAACAGTCACCACAGTTTGCAACACTGCCCACACACACACAAAAAATCCAACAACACACAAAGAACTGGCAACTCAGTGGCCACAGACAAAGATACTATTTTCAAAGCTGAAGAGACCCAACACCAAGCAAAGCCTCATTTTCTAAGCAGAGCCTGATATGAACTGCTGTATCTTGCAGGAATCTCAAGAGTTTCTAAATGTGTCTAGATGACCTTTGGTGTCTAGAACCCGGGGATCACTACAAAGTTGTAATTACAGAAGGGGAAAAGAAGACCTCGGCTCTGCAAAACAAGCCATTGCTTAAAACTTCTTTTATGCTTTAAAATATTAAAGTAAGGTGACTAACTGTTCTGGCTTTCCCAGAACTGAAGGAGTTTCTAGATACAGGATTTTCAGTTTTAAAACCAGGACAGATTTATTGGGCAAACCGTGAAAATGTTAGTCACTTTAGAAAATCTTTCCTAGCCCAAATCTTTGGATTTTAAATGCAACAAAATAGGCAAAACACCTTGCATAAGGAAGGACGCAAGTGATATGCTAAAGAAACAACACGCTTCCTAGTGACTTTTTTGAAAATTACTACCCCAAAGCTCAAAAACCACCTGTAACAGAAACACTACAGATTATCCACAGGCTGCAAAGAAGAGAGGTTTATTCATCTGCTCTATTTTAGATAATGTACCATAGTTAGAACCAAAATAGTCAAATGTCAGGGGGAGAGAAAGACCAAGACTGATAAGCACCTATAGCCTAGAACCCTAAAATTATGACAAAGTGCTTTCAGAGCCATCCTGCAGCACCAAAGATTCTCAAAGACAAAAGTCTCATATTCAAGACAGTCCTCTGTTATCAGTACTGAGTGCCAGGCCCATCACAGTCATGGAGGTTATCACAACCCCCTAGGATACAAAATAAATTCAATGAAACATGGACTCATTAATTCCCAGCCAACTGATACCACCAACCACTTCTTAGCTGCCTGGCACATAAATGTTTGATTTTCAAGAGGATATTTATAACCAACCAAGTTCATGATATGTTGGATAAAAACCCAGGCCAATCACCTGCCATTTTCTTTCCGGTGCCAATTCTAATGCTTATCAATGGTTTTCAAAATGATAATCTCCCAGTTTAGAAGAGACAAAGACTAAGTTTCCTTAGTCAGGTGAATGAATCATCTTAGAAAAATTTCAGAGACAATGACTGAAAACAAAAGGAGGTTTTTAACAGGTCTTGACTGCTCTGATTGACCAAAATTTTTCAATATCCTACTCTTGACTCTGCGAACAAATAATTACAGCAAAAACAAACAAAAACAACCCCCAAATTTTGTTACAGTTGAGTTGTAACAGCAAATTGCCTACACTACAATAAAAAGGAAATCTCCAGAATTACAATTCTGGTAGCTGTTTTTTTTTTCAGATGAACTAAAGATAACAAATTGGACATTATATCAAGATCATTTTAAGGGCATTTCTTCTAGAGGCTCTAAATATTCCTTCAAGAAGATTGGTAATTCAGAAATAAACAGTAATATATAAATAGATCCTAGAAAGATAAGTACAACAATGGCAAAAAAAAAACAAACAAACAAAAAAAAAACACAGAAACTAACCAAAAACCTAAAAAATGGGACTCCTACCTTCTTTTTGGAGTGGCTTCTTTCTTCTTCCTTTGTAGCTTTGCTATTTTTCCCAGCACGGGACACTTTCTGGTCCCCAGACTGCTTGATGGTAATCTTGATCTCAGGGGGGCATATATAGTTCTCCAGATTCTTTGGGGGTTTCTTAGCCCGTTTTGTGGTCTGAATCTTCAGCTTCAGACTCCCCTCTGTGAAGTTCGCCTCCTTGATAGAAAACTCCTGCTCTTCCAGGCCATCTCCTGCTACCCATTTCTCACTGTCTGCATTGGAGTTGGAATCCACATCCCGCCCTGAGCCCAGTTCATCCTCCTCCTCTGGCTCCATACGTTCTCCGCCCACCGGGATGCCCTTCCCGGGTCCTGGAGTGGAGAGCAAAGGTTCCCCTGCACAGCCAGGAGCAGCTGCTGGGGGCTTGGCTGAGGAGACGGGCAGGAATTCCGACTCACTCCCCCTTTGCCGGGAGCTGCTTAAGATTTCCCTGGACTCCATGACAATCCTACAGTCTTCAGGAGTTCTCAGGAGGGGGAAGGGGAAAGGTAAGAAAGAGAACACCCAAAATTCCAAGAATGAAGTGATCCAGTTGCTGGGTTCAGAGTCCCAGGGGTGGAGACACGGAGAGGTGTTCAGAAGAGATTAGATCTGCAACTGAGAAGGGGAGAGATGATTAGCCATGGCAGAAAGGAAAATGGTCCCAAAAGTTACTACTTGTAAGTTCCAGGTGTCCCTCCCCACTTCTCGATGGCATCATTAAAAACAATGAAAAGAAATCCAACCAAAATGCACATATCCCCCAAAGGATTACACTGTTAGAGAGGGGGACTCACGTGCGTATGTGCTTTCATAATGGATTATTATTTATTTTCATGGCTGTGGAGCCAAGAATAAAGATACAAGGACTGTGTGCTCCAGCCCTGTAACAAGCTAGAGGTTTCTTACACTAAAGCCACAGCTGGCTGAGTCAGTAGCAAAACCAACCATGACGAAAGGGAAGTCTAAAGTGTTGATGCTCAGGTCTGTGGGAACCGCACTGAGTTGGCCACTTACAACACTTCCCTCTCACATGTGAAGAAGTCTGCAAAGCTGAACACAGTCCCTGAGCTGCCTGGCCACACGCTCCACTCCCCTGGAAGAAGGGCATTGGCCGACCTCTTACTGGTCCTTTCTTTATCATTTTTCATTACAAATTACTTCAATTATGCAAATGTCTTCTTTCTTAAATCAAACGCAGCGTTTAGCTTTGGGTCTTGAAAAAGGAAAACAAAAAGTGTTCAGTGGGAAATCACTTATAACTCTGCCTTCCTCCAAAACGAGAAGTGAAAAATGAATCAGGTTCTCTTTGAACCATCACGGTATCACCTCAACTATTCCTCACCGTTATTCACTCTCATGTTCCATTATTCCCAATTTGGGAATGTTCATAATTTCCAAAACCCAGTAGAAAACTCAAATCCTCATTCTCAAGAGAACAACCTGGAGTCCTGGGGCTACACATAACATCAAGACATCATGTCTTTTCATTCTTAGGCGAGATTATGTTATATTATAGATTATATTCAAGCCTTTGAGGCCCACTCACTGTTCTGTCAGTTCCCCACCAGATGACAGCACTGCATGTCTAAGGTTCCTACCTCTGTCTAAACAACTGTCCAGTACATGTGCCCACCAGAAAATGCCCATCGATGCCCACAATGATACATTCAGAACAGCCAAGAGCTGGAAGCCTGAAGACTGGGTACATGTCTTCTCCCTGTAGAATCAGTACATTTTCAGCTGATGTCCTGTGAGAAAGAAGACCAGAAGGGAAGGTAGCAGAGGTTTTGTATGGACTTTCCTTCCCAGAGAAGCCCAGGGACATACCTGGCTCCTAGAAACTGCTCTACCCTCAAGAAAGACACAGTTACAACTGTTTCCTCTTGGGGGAAAACCCAGTGAATACAGTTTCTCTGGAAATGGCTTCCCTAGAGAGAACATGAAATTTTCACTGAAGCTACCAAGCCACCTGTGACTCAGCTACCAAAGAGATAGTCTCTACTTGGGAAGGGAGAGAATGTTAGACCAGAGGACACTGGTGTTTCTTTTGCTTATAAGATTCTTCATCATCCAGACTGATCTGTCTACCTGTCTACCTATAAAACCTAATATGATTTCTAAAAAGTCATATTCAGGCCAATCAGTGGTATAGTGGTTAAGGCACCTGGATTCCACATGACTGACTGTGATTCAAGTCAAGCTGGTGGCTTGTAAAACACACTGAATGCATATGCATGAATGCCCCAAATCCTGAAAGCAGGGAGAAAGAGAAGAGAAAGAATTGCCACATGGTCATCTCCCTTGGGGGCTTCTAGCTCACTTTTCCTCTTTCTATTTCTCTGTGTCTCTCTCTGGCAAATACAAATGCCCTCTGGCAATCTTTTTTTGTAACATCATATTCAAGTCCACATTCATTGAGGCCTCTCTTACTACCATCAGATAGTAGTAGATGTTGAAGATCAAGATGGCTTGGAACACATCCCTGCTTTTCAAGCAGTCAAGAGTCCAGTAAATCTTTCTCAGTAAGCCATGTTTTCTTATAGCAGTAATGTTCAGGGTTTACCCCCTTTTTCAAGACTCTCAAGTGTTAAATCTCTAGTAACTATCTATAAAGTTATTGTTGGGTCAGGGTAGAAGGTAAGGCATAGTCTCTATATGAGGTTTCTAAACTAAATCCATTTGGACCTTTGAGCCAGAGTAGGTAAATACATATTGCATATTCTGTGACACAGTACAAGAAAGTAGAACTTAAATTTTAAACAAATGGATGGGAGTATAAAGTAGATGTATTACTAATATTAAGAAAGTATTTCCCATGAAAAATGTGCTTCAGAGTTTCTTCTTTTCAGCTGTAGAAATGAGCAATTAAATTGACATAGAGGACAAAGTTCCAAAAGTTTAAACTCAAGTAATAGAGCCACAAAAACTAAAAATTCAATTCAACCACTTTCCTCAGTTCTCCTCAAGTCAAGATCCTAAGACACAATGAAAATCTCTTTCCTCAAGGATGTCACATGCCTGAAGAGAAATTTGAAAAATAACTCTAAAGAAGAGCAGAATTTTATATGCACTATAGTAAAGAGTAGAAACAAAGTAAAAAGGAAATGTTTTCCACTTGGATGAGGTGTACACAGGAAGGCTTCAAGAAGAGCACAGGCTATGCATTTGATTGTGAGGGTTTTTCATAGAGAAGAAGGAAGACATGGCAACATAGAGAAGAGCATGAACCAAGGCCCAGAGTAGAAGCATGCAGGGTTAAGTTCAGGACACAGAATGCTGACGCTGGCTAAGGAGGTTATGGTACAAAATAGGGACTAGTGAGAAGAAACAGCTAGAAATAAGGCCACAGCCAGATCATGGATATCCTTGGATGGCAACCAACGTATTTGGATTTTATCTTACAGAGAATAAGAAGCCATTCAAGTGAAGGGATACTACCAAAGCGAGGCTTTAGGAAGATAATTGTGGCATATGGTGAAAGGGTTGATATTAGAGTCAGGAGTGAAATAGATAGGTTCAGCTAAAATTTGGAATTCTTACTTCTTGAGAACCTAAACCAGGGCAATGTGACTATGGGGGTGGAGGGGAACAACAGATAGAATATAATTTAGTTACCAAGTCCCAATTTTTAGGAAAACATTCATTTTAGACTTGCCATACTGGTCTAAACTTGTGCATCCGGTCTCAGAGCTTAGTAGTCACCAGCTTGTTTTCTCTATTCAAGTCAAACCACTCTGCACAGTGACATTACACAGTTATTTCTACATTGGCATTTTCATAGAATCTGTTCTTATGTCCCTCCTACTGATCTGTGCAATGCTTGGCATACAAGTGCCCTCCAAGTGTTTGTTGCATGAAGGAATGAGTGAACAAAATAAACAAAACTAGTTCCCAAACTTCCTATATTTCCAGGTCACAATAAAGTCTTCAATCCTCCATGCATTATTTAGGAAATTTTGGAACACAGCACACTCCCTGGCCTAATTTATGTTGCACCCAGCTGTGTAGTTTGCCACTAGATACTAGTCTTGTACTGTCTTCTAGTTCTTTTGAGTACATGGATCAAAATTTCCTAACTTTGTTGCAATTCAGTCTCAAGTTGAGACCAACTATAGTTGTATAATGCCTAAATTTGTTTCAGCATGCACCATAGGGCTGGGCGCTTGGAGGGTGTCATGATGTTCTTTCTGAATGAAAATGTATTTGTCAGGACTAGCAGATGGCATAATGGTTATGTTGCTGGACTCCCACATGGTCAACTGCAATTCAAATCCTAGATCCAGCAGCTTGAAACTCACACTGAGCATGTGTGCATGCCCAAAATCCCAAGAGGAGAATGGAGAAGGGATTGTGGCATGGCCATCCCCTTGGGGGATGATTTCTCACTTTCTGTCTCTCTGATGGCAAGCATGCACCCTATAGTAAAAATCTCTCTAAACAAAAAATTAAAAAGAAAAAGAAAGAAGGAAAGAAAGAGAAAGAAAGAAAGAAAGAAAGAAAGAAAGAAAGAAAGAAAGAAAGAAAGAAAGAAAGAAAGAAGAAAAGGAAAGGAAAGGAAAGGAAAGGAAAGGAAAGGAAAGGAAAGGAAAGGAAAGGAAAGGAAAGGAAAGGAAAGGAAAGGAAAGGAAAGGAAAGGAAAGGAAAGGAAAGGAAAGGAAAGGAAAGGAAAGGAAAGGAAAGGAAAGGAAAGGAAAGGAAAGGAAAGGAAAGGAAAGGAAAGGAAAGGAAAGGAAAGGAAAAAGAAAAAGAAAAAAGAAAAGAAAAGTTATATTTGTCCTTCACAGCTATTCAAAGTCCTATGGTCAAATTACTCCAACTGCAGCTCTATCCACTGAGGTAGCCCTGCCAAATTCACTCACTGCCTAGCCGGAGGATTATAATCTAGCCCCTTGGGTCCACATGTGCCCCTCACCTTACAAAATATAAAATTTAAGAAGTATTCAGAAGCAAAGAGCAAAGAAAGTCTACCTGTCTGTGCACTTCACCAGCACTCAAAGTGATTCGTCTTTAGCTTTCTCCCAGCATGTACCTGCCATCCAAATTCACAGTTCCATATTTTGGTGTGTTTGGGACACAACTGTCAGTCCTCCTGTGATGCACCTCCACCAATACATGTGTATGAACACATACAGGCCCTCACACACTCCCAGAGTTGAAGAAGCCAATGCGAGGTAATCATGTTTTGCCAGGTTTAGCACTCAGCAGTTCCTCCTGAGGGGCAGTGCACCACAGATACAGTGCACTTGGCTCAGGGCTCCAGTGCGACCAGTGACTCTCTCGTTGTCTGCTTGACCTGGTTAGGGATTAAGTGGTCGTGGTTAGTGATTAATTGTGCATGGAGCAGGAATGGTAAACCTTGCTTAGGAAATACCTGCACAACAAACCCAAGGAGACAGGGGGACCATGATGGGGGCAGTGATACTTGGAAAGAAACTTAAGACAGCAATGTAGAAATCCAGTCTCTCCTCCTGGTTCTGCCATTCACAGGCAGTGAGATACCAGACAAGTTACTCTGAGTCCAGGACCCCCATATCTACCACAAGGGTATGCTCTCTCTCTTCCACACTCAATATTTTGTATTTAGCCCAAACCCATGGGGACATTCCAAAGTGCATAGTGTGAACCTACAGGATTACTGCTCTAAATAACCAGGATAATCCTGCTTGGTTAGATGTACCTCATACCCAGATGAGTCCCAAAATGTATCTCCTCCCTTCTCTTCAGATCTCAAGAAGAAAGAATTTTTCCTAATCTAAAGTGTGTTCTCCACCTGCTGCCTGGGGAACACTTATTTACCCTGCAACTTGAGAAAAATGCAAACTCTCAAGCCCCACTTACTGAATCAGGATTCCAGTGATGGGGCCCAGCACTCTGACTTTACCAGAGTAGCTCCGAGGGATGGAATTTGAGAACCAGTATTTTAGACTTTGTCCGGTCTATGCATTTACACTATCAAGTGCTAGGCCACAGGTATCTTTATTCTGTATGTAATGGTCTTTCTCCCCTATAGTAGTACTAGAAGTCTCTGGAGAGTAGGCATTAGTTGCATTCTCTTTGTCCATGCAATCCCAGCTCTGAGCATAGTGGCCAACACATAATAAATACTCAAAAGTAAGTTGGTTGGCTGGATTAATAAGAGAACAAACCAACTCTGAGGGGACATTTGGGCATCCCTCACCTCCCTCATCTGCTTTTCTTCCATGGAATGTTGCCCATTGCAAAGGGACAATAAAGAATAATTGACAGAACCTTAGCACTTTAAATAGGAGTCACAGGTATAAATTCGGGGCCTAGTTCTGCCATTCAGGTGACCTCATAAGCCCTTGGTCACCCTTAATGGTCCATCAACAAAACAGAATAAAATGATGCCTTCCTGACATATTTCATTCGGTTATAGATTTCATTTATTTATATTTTATTATGGGTAGCAGAACTCAATGCTCTTTATAAAAAACAAACAAACAAACAAACAAAAAACAAATAAATGAATAACACACACAACTCACAGATCTGAAAGGCAAACCGCCACAGATGTAGGGAGAGTCTTCTGCCTCATTTCTGATCTTTTCCAAACTACTCCTTACCTCTTCAGCCCAAGTCCTCCCTCAGCTCTGTATTCTGCAAATCCCCGTAATGTGAGGCACATCCTCTATTTTTACAGGTAAAAGACACTGGGCTGACTATATAATTCTCAGGTCAGAACATTTCACCTCAAAACTCTG